TGTATGTGGATGGTTTAATTTTTGGATTCTTGATTCTGTTCCATTGATCAATGTATCTTTCATTGTACCAGTCCCAGGCTGTTTTGACCACTGTAGCCATGTAGCAAATTTTGAAATCAAGAAGTAACAGGGTTTCCAACCTTATTCTTCTTCGTAAACAATACTTTGCTTATGTGTCTTTCCTCTCTGTGTAAAGTTCGTAATTGTTATTTCTATCTCTTTGAAGAATGTAGTTGGACTCTGGATTGGGATTCCATTATATGTATAAATTGCTTTGGGCAGTATTGACAGTTTCATAATGATAAGTCTTCCTATCCAGAAGCATGGTAAGTCTCTTTTGGTTTCTTGTAGCAGTGTTTTATAATTTTCTTTGTATAGGTTCTTTGTTTCTCTGGTTATATTTATTCTTAGATATTTTATCCTTTGTATTGTTCTCCTAATGTCCTTTTCAGCACTGACATTGTTACTAGAGAGGAATCCAACTGATTTTTGTATATTGATCTTATATCCTGCCACTTTGTTGAATCTTCACGTGAGGTCTAGTAGCTTTCTTACTGAGTCTTTGGGGTTTTCTATGTTAGGATCATGTCATCTGCAAATAGGGTTTTTGTTTTTTTTTTTTCCTCTTTGCTGATTTGGATCTCTTTTAAGTTCCCTATCTTTCTGTATATCTCTAAGACTTCCAAAACAGTATTTAATAGGAGTGGTGACAAAGGTTAATGCATTTGAAGTGGAGAAGAGATGGTGGCATTGATTATGGTGGTAGTAATGAAGATGGAGAAATGTGTAGGTTTAGGCTATATTCTGCAGCTAACTCAGCACCATGTATTAATGATAACGGGATGTAGAAAGTAAAACTGTGCTACTATTGTAGTACCTGTAGCACATAACAGAGTGCTAAATCCTTAGTATATGCTTACTAAACAAATAAATGCATGGAATCTTCTAGATTGTGCAAATAGAGATTACCTTATGGGTTATAAACAACTGACAGCAATTTTTTTCTTAGAGCAAATTTGAGATAGTAAGACTTCACCAGCAGAGATGCAGATGTTGTTACTTGATGTTAGAACTTAGTGCATATTAAACATAAATGATCCAATATGAGAGAACTGAATGTGTTCAAGAAATAAACGGAAGACATAGAGGAAAAAGATGATAAAACCTCAGAAAATATTCCTTGCACAAGACGTATTTCTCTTTGAGTGTGATGTATATTACATAAAGAGAAGTCATTAATAATATACATAAGAAATTAACTTTTCATATTCAGCATCTTACATATTTTGACACTAAAAAACACAACATAACAATGATTTTCATTTGTATTTACTAGTTTAAAAATGTCTGTTTTAAACATTACATTTTTACTGTACATATTCATTGCATTTATAAATCAGTATCCAACATAGTTAATTCCTTCATTTTATAGTACTAAGCTTTTAATTATGTGCAAAGATATTAAGCAACTGAAATTATAAAATGTTCATTCATCTTCTTAATAGATGTGTATCCCAAGCCATTTTTTTTTTGCACTCCAAATCACAACATACTTTCCTAAGTAAGCTTCATATTGAGTCATATAAGTAACACTTAAAAAGTTAGAAAATACATTGATATTACGCTTGTACTAAATACAGAAAACAATAATTCACACATGATAAAAATAGACATTTAACCTCATGCAGTAACTAACAGATTCCAGACACATGCCTAGACATCAATGCTATGGAAATCAATCACAACAAAAAGACAATGACAGTGAAAATTCCTGTACAATGAAAAGACTTCCAAATCACAACTGACAATCAACTTACTTTGAATAATACTAAACAATTATTCAAAATCAGTGCAATTTAGTAATTAGGACACCTCTTCAGAGATCATTGTGGCTAATCAAAGTAACTTGAAGATGTCCTGCAAATTTCATCCCATGTTAATTATAAGGCTTCTATCATCCCCATTTTTCATTTCTGAGATGTATAATGTATATGTATATGTATATGTGTGTGTATATATATATATATATACATCTCACATAAATGCACACTTATACATGTTATATTGTATATGACTGAGAAATTGTACTTATAAAATTTTATATAGGTATGTGTTGCTACACAGTAGTCATGATTAAATATTAAACAAATAGTTGGCATCAACGTTCCAAATACTTAAATAACACTATTGTCAATATGGTCTGGTGAATTTCTAGGTGTCTATTAAAAACAAATTAACTTTCCTAAATATCCAAGAGTGCTTTCTATTTTCTGAATACAATTCTGTTCATATTCTAGCAGGTTAGAAAATGGGTTATATTTACCATTAAACCATTCTATAGAAACTGTAAACACTAAATCACTTAATAGAGTCCTATCTCAGCTGTTAAATGAAATTATTTATAACATCTTTGGAATACAATTATGTGAGCTACACTTAACCATCTGGGCATTTTACTTCCTGCAGACAACATGCAATGGCCTAGAATGCTATTTTGTTTGTTCATTTGCTTCTTATTAAACAGATATGCTAAAGTTGCCTTTATAAAGCAATTGCATTTTATTATGACTTTCAGAGCAAGGTAGTCCATTTGCAGCAGCTTGGTATTGTTGTTGTTGTTATAAAGGTAAACAAATAATTCTTATTATTAAAATTCTACCACATACTCTGTAAAGCATAAACTGAGAATTGTTAAGCAACTGAAAAGATAAAACACACACACTGTATGGTAACATACTGAGTAAAGACTTTCTGATAAGTTAGAGAGTTGTAACTACTGAGCAAGCTAGATAATTAAATAGTTATATATTTTGATTGAAAAACACATGTAGTTCATTAAAATAGGGACTCTAACTCCATTTTTCTAGCCAAGCGTCTATTCAGATGCCAAGTTTTTCCTTTAATTAGAACAAAAGACAGGCATTAACTTCAATGCAACATAATAATTCATAATAATGACTGTATATTAATCTCTTTGAGTTTGCAGGAATATCATACATGACATATGGCATAATACAGGCACCTGTATGGTCCTTAGGGGAATAGGTGGTGCATAATAATTAGTCCTTAGAAAATAAATGTTTCTCTCTGAGAAAAGCTATCTCAGTGCCTATTGGCTTAAAGACATGAAAGAATAGAAGGCACCCATAAAAAACAATGATTAAGCTCTGTCTACTCTCATTAAAGCTTTGTATAGATGTAGGCACTGAGTCAACTGCTTTTGAGTTAATTCTTGATTGATTCTGTTGATCAAGTTAGTGTAGCCATGCATTTCTTTGGCTTCAATGATTGGTTTTTGGCTGAAGCATCAAAATTACATTTTTGGTTACAGAAAAGTTTATTACTGTTTAATTTAAACACAAAATCATCTAAACAGAAACATACAGCAATTTGAAACAGTAATTTTTCTTGAATACTATTTGAAATTGCCTCTATTTAATACTTTGTATTTGATTATAAATGTCTTTTAGAAATATGTCATCGTGAAAGTCATAGGATTCTTGGCAATACAAGTTATGCTGAAGGCACTTCACTGTACATCTTGGAAAGATAGTAGAGAGGAATTAGGGAAATAAACCTCTGGGTGGTTGCAGATAAATGTATATAGGGATATGAGAAGTTCTTAAAATTACCTCCCAGGTACAACAACAAAAAAAGAACAAAAACAAACTCTTTAAGTCCCATTGCAAATCTGTAGTTAGAGAAAATAAAAAGTTGAATATACATGGTGAATACTAGAAAATGGTACATTTAAAAAAAACTATTTTGCCTACTATTCTCCTTTAAAATTCATTTCGATTTTAATTCTTAATTGCATAAAACAAATCCACTTAACTGAAAAATATTTGTAGTTTAATAGGGTGCTTAGAACTCCACGAAGCTTTTAAAGATCTTTCAGAATAGCAGATTCTAATGAGGTGTTTTTTAATGCTAGCAATTTGAACTTGTGTAATAAACAGAGATTCACTAGGGTAGCTGAATATAATATATTTTCAAATATAGGCATTGCTTGTTGGTTTGTTTCCCATGGGCTGTGTCCTCAGTCTGTAATGAAACTGTTACGCTACTGATATATTTATTGGTATATGTGGGCCCATCTTCTTGTCACTCAACACATGGATAGTTTAAAATAATTCATTTCTATTAAGTAAATGTGCATCTAAGGCACATTTAAATAGCCTATTAAACCAGTGAGATGAAAATATGTTACCCTCACAGGAAAGCTTAATTTTTGGAGTAATTAATTATACATATCATAGAATGTCACATGAGAACATTTTTTGGCTAGGTTTACCAATTTATAATGTAAACAGTTTTACTTTTGTATTTAAGGCAAAGACGCTGATTCATCATTAGTCAGATGGCAACACATCATGATTTTTGCTTTTAATTTTATGATACTTATCCTAATGGGAACAGATACATACAGCATATTTAAGTATACAAAGACATATACAAATAAGTTCAATGCTTATTTATATATGCTGTATGTTTATTTGTATTAGCTGATATGTCTACATTATAAAATACAGTCAATTACATATTCATACTTTTTTAGAATGATACAGAACTGTGGTTATAAATCATAGCACCTACTCTTTTCAGTTAAATTATATAGACATTTTGAAAAGGAAATTGTAAGGCTTATGGCTTTTTGTCTTTGTCAAATATTTATAAATCTAGTCATCATGATGTATTACAATAATATAATTCTTTTTAATGCTCTTATAAATATTTAAAAATGTATCAACATACACACACCATTGATGGGATGGGCTACCATCACAAGGAATAAAATAATATTATTCAAATGCCTTCATAAACCAGAGAAGTGTTTACCTGTACACATAATCTGATGAGTTGTACAGAAATACTTTAAAATTTTCAGTTATGTCACTTTCTATAACCCAAAAATCCATTATTTTTGTTTTGTGGGACATAGGACTGTAAACAGAGTCCAGCATGGAAATCTCCCTTAGTGACTTTTATTACTGTGTCTCTTAACTAGTTTCCTCATTTATAAAATAGGTTGAATTCAGCTATAGAAAGGAAAAACCAGAATGAAACAAAAACATGAAAAAAGTTTAGCATCATGCCAGGAAGCACAGAAGTTAGCTGCCTCTGAATGCCTTCCTAAAAGATAAAATGGCTCTTCTCCCTCTTTTTTTTAATGTGGCATTAATAGCAATACTTTAGGTCTCTCTTGTTTTTATGACTGCTCATTTTTTCTAAACATGTTGCCAAGTAATAGTGTCATTGGACCCACAATGATTGTAGATTAGAATTTTTTAAAACTTCAGGGTACATAAGTATCAACTAGCAATCTTGCTAAAGATGATGGTTTCTAAGTCTCATTTCCCTAAATCTACATTTTGAGAAACACTGATTAAATAGTTGATTTAATAGAGCACTAACATGTCTTCTCATCAAAGAATTTTGCCTACTTCATTCATCCTTCCTGACTTCTGGTGTCATGTAGAGTCTTTTGTCTTTTCATTGAGTACCCAGTCTTTGATCTGTTTGTCAGATACAGGCAGAGAATAAGCTATACTGTAATTCAAAGTAGTATTCCCAGACCATACAATATCTGATTGAATGGCTGATTATACAGAAAGCACTGGAAAAGATCATTTATAACCATATAACCAAGCAAAATGCTATATTAGATAGTATTGTTGTTGCTTGTAAGTTTTTTTTTGTTTGTTTGTTTTTTTTCAGTCAATTAAGACTCATTGTGACCTTGTACAGGGTTTCCAAAAAGCAGCTGATGAGTTTGAACCACTGACCTCATGGTTCACACTTAAGCGCTTATCCTATAGTGCCACATCAGGAGTCTATCTGAGAAGGTAGGAGAGCTTAAAGCTGGTAGTACTTCTGCCACTAAATTTATGTCTATGTTCAAGTTTCTTAATCACTGTATCCAATAGGGCAATAAAGTTCTCCCTGACTAAAGGCAAGATCCTAGAGGTTAGATAAGAATGTTTCATAGGTTTCCTTTTGATACTAGGATCAATGTTTTTCTGCAATGGGAGTGATGCATATGTATCCCTCCTGAATCCAAATTTCCATCCTGAACTTTTGACACATTTTTCTGGGAGGATGACTATTTTTTATTCTTTATATCCAGGTACCACTCTAAATACAAAGTGTGAGAAGAAACAAGTCACGCAAATGTATCAGCAACAATTTAAACACACTACCAATTCACAGAATAGGTTTGATTCTCAAGGTCAGCAGTTCAAAACTTACCAGCCGCTCCTGGGAAACACTATACAGGGTCAGTATGAGTCAGAACTGACTCGAAGGCACTGAACAACAACAACAGGAAGTAGTGGATAATAGGGCCATCTGAAAATAATGTCAATATGAAAACTTTCATTTTTGAGAGAAGAAATTAAAGCATCTAAAGACACACTCAGGGTCACACTGAATTTTATGTGTAACATTAGAAGCGTGGATATTTTTTACATTTTTATTTTACTCATTATTTTGGATAAAGGAGGAAAAAAAATCAAAAGTTTTTTCATAAAATTAAGGACTTCCCCTTATCAAAAATTTATTTCATTAAGGTTTGTTTGCTTTTTGCCAGGTGTGGAAAAAACACTTTTATGCTTTTTAAGATATTTTGAGTTTTCAAAGGGAAACTTTGCTACTTTCCTATGAAAATTGTGAAAAGTGAAAAGTGCCCTATAGCTAGGGGTTTCAGAAAAGATGCCTGGAGGAAAAGCCATGTGAGATGCTTTCATTTTAGAGTAACTGCTGTTTCTGTGATTTCAACAGACACAACAGGATTAAAAGAAAGAAAAAAATATTTTCTCCCTCATAAAGCTAACACCATACTTGAAATTCTTAGAAAAGCAACTGAGGCAAATTAGGGGTTTCAAAGCTAGTCACCTTGTAAATTGTTAGGGAAAAAAATGCATTTAAATTTCCCTGTAAGGCTAACTAGAGATTTTGCCTGGAATATTATGGCTCCTTTTTTTTTGGTGTTAATACTTTAAAAAAAAACAATTCCATAACCAGTGTACTGCTACATCTAGTTGTTTTAAGAATAGGCACTTCATTTCTTAAAATAGAAACATTCAAATTGGTTATAGTCAACCCATCAGAAAGAAAATGTGAATTCTTCATATTGAACACACAACAGTGAATTAATCTGAAACCATATCCACTCGGTGTTTCTATTACAGAAACTAGATCATTAATACTTCTGACATAGGGAATACATTTTATTCCCATGTGCTTTATCCATAGGATCAAAGAGCATCCAGAACTTCTTGGGATCTTTTCCTCCAAAATATTTTATAGACAAGTACAGCAGTTTACTTTTAATAGATCTTTAGTATTATTTATATAACTTGCTTTTACATATTCAGAGATATAAAAGAAAAATTGAATGTGCAAAAAACTCTATATGTACATTTAAAAATACAATATAATAATAGCATTAGACCTGTCAAAAAAGCCAATATGGGGAAAAAGTCTTCAGTATCAGAAATTCTGGTCAGATTAGAGCTTTTGCTTGTGGAATTGTAAACAAACTTTTTAGAATGTGGAGAGTTTTCTCAGTTCTTTCTAACCCAGACACTCTCAAACACATCAAGTCCTGCTTTGAAGTAAACCTGAGCTGAATTAATGCTGTTCAACACCTCTGACAGGGCCTCTTGAAGAGTTTCATTTGATGGAAGTGATTTGCAGTGTTCCCAAGCCTCTAGGAGTATGGAAAACTGGCTAGTCTTCTCATCTAGATGGTATAGGATGTTTCTAAAATAAGAGGGGGGAAAAAAGGATTGTATCAATATTTTATACACAATGTCATTTTCATATCAAACATTATAATGAATATTTCCAAGTATTAAATAAGTGATAAAATTACATATCACCATTTTTCAATTCTTAATAACTGAATGGCTATAGACACAGATCATCAATAGTTTCCATATTGATAAGAGAGAAAGAGGCAATCAGACATTGTATTGTCCTGATGGAAGTGTTTACCTTTGCCTATGAAGTAGAATAAATGTGCTAGCTTTTTTAAGAATATATTTTAAATTGAATCTGATGATAAGTTTAGATTCAACTATTAATAGAAAAGACAAAGAAATCTATTAAATGGTACCCAGTATGTCACAGCAAAATATTGATTGTGGGAAAGTATAGAGAAAATGACCCAATTTATTTCAATCAATAAATGGCAATAAAAAAGCAAGTGAAGGTGTAACGTATAGACTAGGGTTTCTCAATCTCTGAACTATTGGTGGTAGTTGTTGTTAAGTACCGTGGAGTCAGTTCCAACTCATAGTGACTGTGCACAGGGTTTCCGAGGCTGTAAATCTTTTTGGGAGCAGAAATTGGTAGTTAGGACTGGGCAATTCCTTATGGTGGGGAGTTGTCCTGTGCATTGTAGGATGTTAATAGCTTCGTTTGTACCTCCTGTCTAAATGCCAGTAGAACCTCTCTCTTAGCTATGAAAACCAACACTGATAGTGGAGGGAGGATAAGATTGACCATTAGTTAATATTTGTTGAAACTGAGCATAGAATTCACTACAAAAGTCTCTCTACTTTTAGATATGTTTGACATTTAGAAAATCATCTTATCAAAACAGCAAGTGTGTAATAAGATGATGCCTTATACCTCAGCCAAATATCTGCAAACAGAGAATTTAGCTTTGTTGCTGTTACATGCCATAGTGACCCTATTAACAACAGACTAAAACACTGCCCAGTACCGTTCCATCCTCACAGTTGTTACTGATGAGCCCATTGCTGCTGCCACTTTGTCAGTTCATCTCATTGGAGATCTTCTTTTTCACTTATGCTCCACTTTACCAAGCAAGCTGTATGAGAGATGAAGTGTCATCATCCTGGCATTTATGGAGCATTCTGGCTCTATGTACTTCTTCCAATCCAAATTGCCATTTTCTTCTGGCAGTTCATGGTACTTTCAATATTCTTCTCCAACTCCGTAATTCAAATGAATCTATTCTTTGGTCTTTGTTAGTCATTGTCCAACTTTCACGTGCAGATGAGGTA